GCTGTCGGTGCCCTGAACTTTGCAGAGCGTGAATGATAATACAACAAGCTCGTTGTGGCATTTCGCTGTCGTTGCTGATAAACTGGATTTAACTTCGACCAAAAGGAGGCTAGAAAAAAAAATTTTTTTTCTTGTGTTGTTAATAAATTAGTGTATGTGACTCCAATGGTTCGTGACAATTGTGCACATTCTCATTTAATTTTCGATCTCTTGACCTTTCTTTGTTTCATGCGTGTTTCTGAGGGGCACTTTTTATGCCGTGTTATTAAAAGAAATGGAAATTATATAATATTAAGTAGAGTGAAGTCGTTTGATTGTGTTGCAGCATATTTTTAGAGGTCGTAGGTCTGCATGGTTTCCGCTGGTAACTGCACGTCGTTTCTCAGAGTTTGACACCTCTGTATAAATTTGCCATGCCGTGCTTATACTTTGTTTAGGTTTGTTTCTATTGCAAGATATGTTTTAAGGCTCTCAGTACTGGCTCTCCAGGGACAAAGATAAAAATATTCTGTGAACATATTGCTTACTTGCATTCTATATTGTGATGCCGGGCCCGGCTATTTGATTAGAACTGTTTGCAAGCACAGTGCACTGCACGAATATCATATTTATCTTCGTCCAGTTTTTCTTCACAGACTGCCATAGCTTTACTTTGAGAAAGCTATACATTTTCCTAGAGACATTATGTTTTTTGCATCAATTTGATCGAGTGCATTCAAAGGAGAAACAACAATTACTGTGGGATGAAATTGCGCTGCTTGTCGTCGAGTCAACGTCCACAGTTGAAATATGACTGACTTACCATAAATCCAGTGGGTAAGACGGCTACACTGAAAATCAAGACCACTAAATTGTCTCAAGGCAGGCTTGCTTAACCTTAAGGTAAACGTTGGAATATTATTCGAAATTTCAGCCTAAAAGTTAAGTATTGATAAATGGCGTGAGTAATGGAAGTCACAGTGTGATACTTTGAATTTGACAAAGCTCAACGCGACAAATTGCTAATTACAAAGGACCCCTCCCTGATGTTCTCAATTGTGAAAGTGGCACGTGACCAGACCCAACCAGGGTCTCTCATCGCTTGCTTCAAGGGGCGGTAAGATGAGAGACCCTGGGACGAGGTTGCCTCAAGAGTTCAAGATAACAGAGTTCAACTGTACAAACTTGCCACTAGCTCACCTGAGAACTTGAACTCCTGCATAAATAGAGAGAAAATGAATATTGTCAGAAACATCACTTCTGTTTTGGAGCTATTGCTGTTGTAGTTCAAGTTAGAAGAAAAGTCTTCTTGAGTAAGATGGCCTTAAGGTAGCTTATTTCTGTTTTGTGACAGAGCTCAACTTTTGCACACAAACCAACTCTCGAGAGTGCGCAGTATGACCTGAAAATCATCTTTAAAACTACCGGTACTGGTGCCCATCTCCCTTAAAACACTCAGTTGTTTGCATTTGCTAAATTTCATTTATATTTCCTTTGTTCAATTGTAGCATGTAATGGTAGAACAGTAATAAGAGAAAGAAACAAACACCACAGAATATTTTACAAAGAGTTTTATCTTACTTTTTATCTTTTTTGCTTCTCCTGCTTTCATTGTCACTTGAGCTACTACTATAGCTTCTGCTGCTGCTTGATCGGCTATACCTGCGATCTACAAATATATCACAACAGTGATTAACTGAACAAATAAAGGGGTTCTGAGTAGAGTCTAGCTCACAAGTGCATTTCCTTGCATTTGCATTTGAGCTGCACATATGAACCAAGCTTTACATACCACTTGAAGGAACAAGCAATGTTTTGGGAAAATCATTTCAAATAAAGTTTCTGATTATTACCAGGATTCTTATCACTTGAGTTAACTCTAACAAGGCAATGGTGGTACGGGGGGGGGGGGG